TGTTGTAGGAAAGTAGAGTGAGAACATAGTAGAGGATACTTCAAACCTACTACAACTCAGCAAAAAGTAGGAGGAGTGAAGAAATACTGCCCACAAAAGGATAACAAAGCATTCATGTCCAACTTTAGAAATTTATTGTTTGAGCAACAACAATAAGGAAAGAATATAAAGTATGTCAAAGACCTCAAGACCATAACTAGTCACAAAGTAGGAGGCGATGTTACATAAACTGTTACAGATTTGAAGATCTTAATAAATGACACTTTTCATCATCTTAAATGTGTTCTTTTGCAAATAGCCAGGACACTGGCATTTAGTATGGGATTTTTTTTTTTGAGGAAGATTAGCCCTGAGCTAACGTCTGCTGCCAATCTTCCTCTACTTTATATGTGGGACAGCTGCCACAGCATAGCATGCCAAGTGGTGCTATGTCCGAAGCTGGGATCTGAACCGGCGAACCCTGGGCCGCCGAAGCAAAATGTGCGAACTTAACCACTGTGCCACCAGGCCGGCCCCTAGTATGGTATTTTCAAATCTAGTATGGTCTAGAGCTGTATCTTATATTAGCCAAGTAAATAGCAAACTCAAATATATGCTCATCTTTCCATTTAAATGCCTTCCTTATCTTCCCACAAATGCTTAATATTCTTTCATATTTTTCCTTTCAACAAAGACAGGCTTTAAGAGTTGAAAAATGTGATTCTGCTTCTGGCATAGTTGGGTAAGCTAATAAACCATTCTTCCCACAGACAACAAATGTAAATTCTGGACAAAATATAAACACACAAATTCAGATATGTGTATTATAATCCCTGAAACAACCAATAAAAACAGAGAGATATCCAAAAGGCCAATAGATAAATTAAAATTGGATATTAGAAATAATAGAATTATCTACAAAAAGGGAAAGAAGCAAGGGCAGAAAAACAAACAGAAAAGAAAAACAGGGAGATAATCAGAAAAATAATTAAAAAATAATAAAATGTTAGATGTAGGTTCAGCCCTACCAATAAGTTACACTAAATGTGAATGCACTACAAAGGCCAATTAGAAGTGCAAGATTTGATTTAAAAAGCCCCAATACTAGACCCCAATTATTGTCTAAAACAAAGTCGTAATAAAAACAATCATATTGATTGTAAAAGTAAAAGAATGGAAGTGTATGTATTATGTATGCACCAATCAAAACAAAGTTAGAGCGGTGATTTCAATAACAGAAAAAGTAGATTTCAGAACAGGGAAAATACCAGGGATAAAATGGGACATTAGGATAAAAGAGGTAATTCACCAAGAAGTCATAACAATCCTAAAACTGTATGAACCTAAAAAAAGGAGGTTTAAAATTTAGGTAGCTTATATAACTGAGAAAAAATAACCATATTCACAATTATACTTGGAAATTTTAACTTTTCTGCTCCGTAATACAACAAGAAAGCAGGCAGTCAATCAGTAAGGATATTGAAGGTCCAAGCAACACTATCAATGAACTTGGATTAACAGACATTTACACAGTACTCCAGGTGTGCAAGTATACATGGGACAGTCAGCAAGACGCATCAAGTATACATGGGACGGTTACCAAGACGCATCAAATTCTGAGATGTAAACTTGAACAAATTTCTTGTCATAATGGAATTAAAGTTGATATTAATATATAAAAATACCTGGAAAATAGCCAAATATTTGGAAACTAAACAATATATCTTTAAATATCCCCTGAGTAAAAGAGGAAGTCTTCAGAAAATATTTAGAACTGAATGTAGAAGAAAATGCAGCATATCAAAATTTGTGGAGTTCCTCTAAAGCAGGCTTATGGGGAAATTTATACCAATATATGCTTACTCTGCAAAAGAAGAAGGTTCCTAAAACAGTAATCTAAGCCTCTACTTTTAAGAAACTTGAAAAAAGAAAGCAGGGGGCTGGCTCAGTGGCGCAGCAGTTAAACTTGCATGTTCTGCTTCGAGGGCCCAGGGTTCGCTGCTTTGGATCCTGAGTGCGGACATGGCACTGCTTGGCAAGCCATGCTGTGGCAGATGTCCCACATATAAAGTAGAGGAAGATGGGCACAGATGTTAGCTCAGGGCCAGTCTTCCTCAGCAAAAAGAGGAGGATTGGTGGCAGATATTAGCTCAGGGCTAATCTTCCTCAAAAAAAAAGCAAATAAAACTCAAGCTAGGAGAATGAAGGAAGTAGTAGCAGAAGATAGTAATAGCAGAAGGAAGATAGTAGGAGAAATCAATGAAATCGAAAAGAGAAAATCAATAACACCGAAATAGGTTTCCTTGAAAATATCTAGCGAATTGACCAAGAAAAAAAATAGGACACAAATTATCAATATCCTGAATGAAAAAGTAGACCTCACTAAAGACCCTACAGATATTAATAAGGGCCATTTCCATGAGTTACAGAAAGTAATTCACCCAATAAGAAAATTCAAATTAAAAAAATAACAAAATTTTATGTTTTAGGTTAACAAAATTTAAATTAAAAATAAAGAGATTTAAAAAGCTTCCAAAAGAGGCCTACATAGTTTAACTGGTAAATTCTACCTAACCTTAATTTAAGTAAGAGATAATAGTAGTTTCCCCCAGTCTCTTCAATATATAAGAATATATATATAAGAATGTGAGGAATATATATGTACATGAGACCAGCTTTACCCTGATACCAAAAACAGACACACACATTGTTAGAAAAGAAAACTACAAACCAATATCCCTCAGGACTATTGTCATGAAAATCTTCAATAAAATATTAGCTAAATGAATCCTTCAGTGTATAACAAAGGATTTTGACCAAGAGGAGCTTATCCCAGGAATGCAAGGCTTGTTCAACATTTGATAATCATCCATTATTTAAATTCACCATATTAATTGACTGAAGAAGAAAAACCACATAATTATCTCGTAGGTGCAGAAAAGCGCTTGACAAAATTCAGCATTCGTTCATTATACAGACTTTCAAAAAATTAGGAGTAGAAAGAAATATCCTTAGCTTGATAGAGGGCATTTACAAAAAAACCTACAGCTAGCATCATACTTAAAGATTAAATACTTTTGCTAAAACTCAGAACAAGGCATGAGTATTGCTTGTCACTACTCCCGTTCACCTCAGCAAATGTAGTAAGTCAAGACAAAGAAAGAAAAGGCATGTAGTTTGGAAATTTAAGAAATCACACTATGTCTGTTCATACACTACATGATTATGTGTAAAGAAAATTCCATGTAATTTACATAAAAACTCCTAGAACTGGCAGAATATATAGTCAATATAAAAAATGTCTATTATCTCTCCATACCAGCAAGGAAAAATTGACAATTGAAATAAAATAAAGAGTACCATTTACAACAGATCTAAGAAAATATATTTGCGGTCTATGTGCTGAACCAAAAAAAGAAGTCAAGACATACATCAAGGAATACATGAGGCCAGCCCGGTGGCGCAGCGGTTAAGTGCGCATGTTCCGCTTCAGCGGCCTGGGGTTCACCGGTTCAGATCCCAGGTGCAGACATGGCACCGTTTGGCACGCCATGCTGTGGTAGGCGTCCCACATGTAAAGTAGAGGAAGATGGGCATGGATGTTAGCTCAGGGCCAGCCTTCCTCAGCGAAAAGAGGAGGACTGGCAGTAGTTAGCTCAGGGCTAATCTTCCTCAAAAAAGAAATACGCTGTATTGTAGCTGGGAAGATTCAATGTTGTTAAAGATGTCCTTCATCCCCAAGTTGATTTGTAGACTTAATACAATCCCCCCAAAAAATCCTAGGAGGTTTTTTTGAGGATATGAAAAAGCTGATTCTATATTTGAAAAGGCAAATAATGTTGAAAAAGATCAGAAAAGGAAGACTCACTTTACCTGTTTTCAGGATTTTTATAAAGTTACAGTAATCAAGAAAGTGTGATATTAATGAAAGTATAGATATGGAAATGGATGGAATAGAATAATACTTCCAGTGAAAGATCTATGTAAATATGGGCAGTTGATCTTTGGCAAGTTGACAATGGATAAAAAATTCTTTTTTTCTTTTTTTTTAAGATTAGCACCTGAGCTAACATCTATTGCCAATCTTTTTTTTCTTCTTCTTCTCCCCACAGCCCCCCGGGACATAGTTGTATATTTTAGTTGTGGGTCCTTCTAGTTGTGGCATGTGGGACGCCACCTCAGCATGGCCTGATGAGCAGTGCCATGTCCACGCCCAGGATCCAAACCAGTGAAACCTGGGGCCATGGGCCCGGCTCCTGGATAAAGAATTCTATGGATAAAGAATAGTCTCTTCAGGAAATCATGCTGGAACATTTAGATGTCAGTTGCAAAAATGTTAATTTGTCTGCTACCTCACACTTTATACCAAAATTAACTCAACGTGGATGATAGACCTAAATGTAAAATATAAAACTATGAAACTTTGACAAGAACACATAGAAAGTTTTTGTGACCTTTGATTAGGCAAAGAATTCTTAGCTATGACATCTCATCAAAATTAAAAACTTGCTCTGTGAAAGACACTGTAGGCAGTTTTAATAAATATTATGCTAGGGTAGAGACAAATTTTAAACTGGTAAATTAAGTAAGGTATTAGTACTTATAACAGTGGATAAATTGGAACTTAAAATTCAGGTTTTGAGAAATAGCAAAAAGTGGGAGTGGGTTTTAGTTCCATGGATATAAGTCATTTTCACATTCTTTGTTATCAGTTTTGCTATTTTAAAATGCTTGTAAACTCTGTAAATTCAGGCATATAAAACTTTATTAGTTGTACGGGAACGTCTTGAAGCCTTTGCATTTTAGTATCCTCGCTCTGCTTGAATACTAATGTGGCGTTAAAGTCTTGTATTTCACATAGGAAAAAGATTCTGTGTTTTAGTTTTTTTATTGTGAGAAGTTTCTTATATATTTAGCAATTTTTTCCCTTTGGTAATATTGTAAAGCATGATGAATACTTTGTGAAAATATTTCATCCATATACATAACGGTTTTTATTTTTACCCTTTTTTTCCCTTCAGGAATGCTTCTAGTCACAACAGACACTCTTGGCCATGACTTTCATGTCTTCCAAATTCTGACTCATCCTTGGTCCTCGTCACAAAGTGCTGTCCATCATCTGTATACTCTTCACAGGGGAGAGACTGAAGCCAAAGTGAGTCGTATATTTTTCAGAAGGTGTTTTCTTTGTGTAACATGACATCTAATCTAGCTGGTTATTTATATCATATTGGAGCTTAATGTTAATATTAGTGAGAACATATTGTTCTTGGTGATAGAGTGGGTCAGATAATTAAGAAAAAATATTTATCCTATTTTGAGCCAATAAATACATTAGCAGTAGGTGAACAGTTCAGTGAATGTTGATAAGACAAAAGTTATTTATCCTTTTCCTCCTACTCTGATACCATTTCTTGCCCCAGAGAAAACTCTGTCATCCATTTGATATTCGTTTCTCCAACCCGATTTCTAGGCATTTTGATTCTGTATACATGCTTGCATACATACATACATACACACACATATACATGTAAACACATACATATTCACATATACACAAAATAATTGTTTTATAATGCATATGACTGTATGGATAATATACTGGTATATACTAGTATATTATATGGTATATACTGGAGCCAGCTCACAGTGGCTAATGAGAATCAGTTATGCACGTCTGTCCCCAACCCTGGAGGTCATGACATTACATTGACACCGTGAAATACACAATGGAAATCATCAAAGACTAAAAGTCAGAGCTATTTTTCCCTTAGGGAGCCAATTTTTAACATTTACCAGCACATGACTACACACAGACACAACCCCGATATATATAATTTATTGAGCATTTGTGTTAGGCACCATGCTAAGTGCTTTACATGTATTTAATACTCTTAATATTGCTTGGTAGATACTGAGATATGTTAGTTGCCTAAAGTACCACATACTCTTTTGTTTCACAGAGCCTATGGTTGTGCATTTACTAGTACACTGCTGTATGTACTTTATTCTGAGAGGGAGCTCATTGACCCAACACTATTTATTGAGTAGTCTATCCTTTCCCAATAGTCTAAAATGCCGTTTATCATAAATTTCCATTAAAAATTTCTAAATAGAACGAAACATCTTAAATACATAGACGTCCATGAAACTTCTTAAATATATAGAAACCCATAAGTTTGTAATGATATCAAAAAGGGAGCATTGGGAATTACTGAGTAGGTTGCTTGTTTATTAACTCATTATTCTGAAAATTGGTAATTAAAGGGAAAGCATCCAGCATTTACTCAGCCTTTCTTGTATCAATTTAATAAGATGAGCAAGTAGTTGATGAGGGAAAGTTTTTATTGGAATTCTAAAATAAAAAATGTTAGAATTTAACTTACCCTGGTGATCATTTTGCAGTATATATGATATCGAGTGTTGTACACCTGAAACTAATATAATGTTATATGTCAGTTATACCTCAATTCAAAAAAAGAGTTAGAATTGCTAGCCCTAATGAAACAATGGACCCACGCAATAATCCTCTGTGTTTCGTTTTAGCTGATGAGTCTTAACATTACAAAGTGGAACAGTCAGCTATCATGTGCTTCCCAATATGATGCAATAGAGTGTATACAATATCACATGGGAAATAGTTCTGCCCAGCTCTCTAAACTAAACCTGAGTCTAATGCAGCGTCTATATATAATTACGCTTTAAACCAAATACAGAGGTAGAGGGACAAGTTAAACAATATTATGAGAATGCAACTAGCCAACTTTTAAATGTGGCAAGTTCTTCATTACAAGTCTGCCCTGGTTTTTACAACAAATAATTGCACTGAGAAAATAAAAGTGGGTATGTGGTGAGAGTTAAAAGTAATTTTAGAGAATAATGTCTAGGTAGAAAGTGTGGACCTTGTTTGAATCCTGTTTCATACAAATCAAGTATAAAAATTTATTTTTCATTCAAATGGTGACATTAGAACATTTGGCTGAGTAGATATTATTAAATAATTTAATGTCCTTATTTTTTTGTGATACATACTAAAGTATTTACAGATGTCTGGAATTTGCTTTAAAATAATGTAGCAGTAGGGGAATGTTGGTTAGATAAAAGAACAAATAAATGACACTGAGAATAGGGGGATTGTTATGTTGATTACAAGAATCTGAAGAGATGCATCAACTAAATGCAATGTGTGAACTTTTTTGGAAGCTTGATTTAAACAAAGTATAAAGAGAGGTTTTTGAGACCGTTGGAGAAAATTGACCTTTAACGGGATATTATATGATAGTAATCAGTTAATTTTACTGGGTCTGAAATTGTGTTGTATTTTTTTTTTTTTTTTGTCTTTATCTATTAGTCACATATCCTGAAGTCATACTGAAGTAGTTACAGGTGAAACAATAGGACATCTCTATTTGCTTTTAACTACTCTGGTGAAACAAAACAAACATACTAAGAGATAGATTAAACAAGATTTGCGAAGTGTTATTAGTTATTGAAGCTGGGTCATGTCGATAGTGGTGGTTTATTATAGCAATCTGTATACTTCGTGTATGTTCTGAAATTTCTCTAATAGAAAGTAAAAATAAAACAATACCTTTCACCAACATTATGCTGTTTTACTTACTTTAGCTTTTTAACATGATTTGTCGTTCATTTTCAAAAACTTTCCCAGCTAATCTTGAGCATTTTCTCATTGAGATGCGTTTTAGACTGAGCCTTTTAAGTTATATAAAGAGTCTTTTGGAGTATTTTATTTGTATTGCATTGAAATTACATTTTTATACAGTTAGAGTTGACAAGTTTACAATATGGAAATTTTGCATCTAGGAATTACTGTGTTTTAAAATTAGTTATTGCTATGGTATGATAAAAAACCTGTTGATTATTGTCTACCAAATATTTGTATCTTCCTGCTTTGCTAGACTCTGTTGTAAGATTAAGTAGTTTTTCAGTGAATTTTCTTGGGTTTTGTAAGTAGAATATATTTTCTGAAAATCATGATAATTTTGACATTTTTCAGTTTTGTTTTTTTTTTAATTACATTGACTAGGAACTCTCAAACAATGTGCAACTATAGTAGTGATAGCTGTAATCTTTTCTTTGTTAATAATACCTTCTATTTTTTACTTTCCTGTTTTGCCTTATTTCTAGCATTTGTTTTTAATGTCAATACCATACTGTTTTGATTACTGTAGCTTTGTAATATAGTTTGAAACTAGGAAGCATGATCCCTCCAACTTTGTTCTTTCTCAAGATTGCTTTTGCTATTCAGAGTCTTGTGGTTCCACGCAAACTTTAGGATTGTTTGTTGTCTTTCTGTGAAAAATACCACTGGAATTTTGATAGGGTTTGCATTAACATTGTAGATTGTTTTAGGCGGTATGGACCTTTTAACGATATTAATTCTCAAGTTCAAGAGCACCAGTTATCTTTCCCTTTATTTGTCTTCTTCACTTTCTTTAATCAGTGTCTTATAGTTTTCAGGGCACAGGTGTTCTACCTCCTTGGTTAAATTTTCCTAGGTGTTTCATTCTTTTTGATTCACTTGTAAATGGGATTGTTTTTGTAATTTCTCTTTTTCATGTTCAATAATAGTGTATAATAACCCAAATGATTTTTGTATGTTTGGTTTTCTATCTTGCAACTTTACTGAGTTCATTTATCAGTTCTAACAGTTTTTTGGCAGTGTTTTTAGGGTTTTCTGTATGTAAGGTCATGTTATCTTCAAATAGAGGCAGTTTGACTTCTTCCTTTCCAATTTGGATGTCTTCTGTTTCATTTTCTTCCCTAATAGCTCTGGCTAGGACTTTTAGTCCTATATTTAATAAAAGAGGCGAGAGTGAGCATCTTTGTCTTGTTCCTGTTCTTAGAGGAAAAGCTTTTGAGTTTTCACCATTCAGTATGATGTTAGGTGTGGGTTGTCATATATGGCATTTATTATTTTGAGGTACATTCCCTCTATACCCACTTTATTTAGAGTTTTTTTTTTTTTTTATCATGAAGGCATGTTGAATTTTTTCAAATGCTTTTTCTGCATCTGTTGGTAGGATCATATGATCTTTATCCTTCATTTTCTTTCTTTTGGTGTGGAGGATTAGCCCTGAGCTAACATATGTGCCCATCTTCCTCTATTTTATGTGGGATGACATCACAGTGTGGCTTGATGAGTGGAGTAGGTCTGGGCCCAGGATCTGAACCTGTGAACCCGGACTGCTGAAGTGGAACATGTGGAACTTGAACCACTCGGCCACGGGGCCGGCCCTGTATCCTTGATTTTCTTAATGTGATGTGGATCTCAGACAGCACCTAGATGCAGGCTGATTGGAAGCTGGACCCTCAGGCAGCAACTTTTAAAGTATGCGCGTATACCTCTTTCAGGGTGAGACTAGGAGATGGGCGTTTCCGATCTGCTGCCTTTGTGCTGTGCCCTGGGTGGATAGTGGGTTAAGAGAAGTCATTTTAAACTATGTAAATATCCCATTCTCATCAACCTTTGTATTACTTCTTTTATTTACATATGTCATTGGGTTTAATGGGTTCCTATTTTATTCAATGGGTTATATTCATTCAATAATTATTTTAATGTTCAAATTTTCCAGGTATGGCCAGTTTGAGCCTATTAACTTAGCATCTGTGTCCTTTTGACACATCTCCACTATTCTTTGACAATGTCCTTACTTTCTAGCACAACTAACTTGCTTACTCTTATGTTTAGTTACCATTTGGTTTTGTTTCTTTTGTATGGAAGTTTTCAATTAGATAACATTTTAGGTAAAGATTTGATATTTCAGTATGCTACTGGGCACATTTTATTTCTTAACTCTGGTTTTATAATCACTGTCCTACCCTCAGTAGTCACTGGTATGCACTACGTCATCTGTATCCTCCTAGAATTTGAATATTCTAAGCACTTATACCTTTTTTTTCACTTGCAACTATTTTTGACACCTCTTTTGTATTAGTGTTATTTATCATTTAATTTACCTATACCTCCAACTTGTAAATAGAGACCATGTTTAAGCTTCCTGGTATCTCTCATTCTCAGAACAGTGCCTTGCACGCAGACAGATATTTGTAGGTGCACATGTTTGCTCCTGACAATGCTATTCCTATTTAACAGGTAGGAAAATCAAATAGAAGTTATTAAAATTACTTTGT